ACTCGCCCCTTTCCGTAAACTCCAAGAAGATCGCTATTCGGCTTGTCCCGGAATAACACGAGATGGTCACGAATGATGACTAACCTTTAAGAAAGACTTACGTGTCACCTCGACACGAGGAAACAACCCCACTCTTCACATAACGGGTGGCCGAGACGTGGAATAAACCAAAATGTTTTCACGGAGATTGTATTCCCAATATTGTTCCCGGAATAATGAAATTATTTCTTATTTGTAACAAATATTTCATTAATCATTCCAAAAAACTGGCAAAATACTTTCAACAGAGTGAGTGAGTATGTTTTTACGCTGCTTTAAGCGATATTCCAGAAACAACACTGCATGGGACACATGTAATGTGCGTCATAACGGTCAGTAGAAATACAAGATGTCTTCATAAAAAAGAATTGTCACCAGTACACCAGCCTAAATATGTAAATCATAATATCAGTAGGGCTGTGTATTGGCAAATAAATTGTGTTGCAATATATTGCGATTCAGATACCCGTATTGCGACATATTAGGAGCTTAAGTGTTTGACAGTGAGCGACACTAATTGTGCATGTCAATCCTATTTTCTACATTATAAGTCCCTAAACATATATGTTATGGTTCTGATAGCAGCAATCTCTAAATTAGGTTGTATAGTCATGGATTCTAGTTTCCCTTTTTATACAATTTATAGTATTACAGTATGCAGTTTTGTCATTGAATAAGAAAGGAAAACATTGGTTGTGAATGAAAGTCTGACTCTGTAGATTTCAAAGTATATCATAGAGATAATCACAAACACCTCAGATATGCTCTTTACCCAACATACCGGTTCTCAGACAAAATATTGCAGTACGTATCGTTTGAAAAGCGTATTGCGATATACCGGTTTACCGGTAATACCGTGCAGTCCTAAATATTTGAAATTTCGTCGTTCTTCCATCCCAGGAAGGTGTCGTCCCACGAGGCCTAAAATTATTCAATTGGGTAGGTACAGTTCGTTAGGCTATGTGGGACTTCATGCCTCATTGGTTTTATGGGATTACGGTGGATTATTGCTGGACTGGTCCATTATTGACCACAGAAGGGGTGAATCATAAGAAAAAACAAAAATCAAATATGATTGTGAAATATCTTTCTCAGTTCTTGCCCGGTCCAGGAGTGTTCTCTTGAAGTCGTCTATGTTGAAGATGTAGGGTGGTGCTTCATGGTTGTGTCCAGATCCAATCTTCAGTGGGCGATCATCCTGTGTGTGAATTGATCCTTTACAGCGTGGCACTGTACATGTCCAGTAGCAGATGTCATCTACCTGTCTGGTTGACTTTAAACTTATGTCCTGCATAGTATGCAAATCTGCCGTCACAAGCATTGGGAAGGTATCTGACATTAACTTGTGCATTCGCCATAGCTATGTAGATATCGATATAGCTACAAACATATATTATAGCAAGTTTCGTCCTTCTCATGTTAGTTAGAGAAGGAAACTGAATAATATCCACTTCATGTAAATACTCCTCCAGTAATAATAGATCTAATCTTATTAAGATTAACAGTAAGTGCTTTCATCTTTTCAACCTTAATGTTTTCACAGTAGACAAGTCTCATTACTAAACTAACCCTAACAGAGTGACCCCCGTCCACTGATCAGTGGCCTCTCCCACTCTTGTTTGACACCCCAATTACCTCATTAAATATGGCATGTTGGAAACTGTAATTAGGCCTTGTGGGATTTATTAGGTGTGAAGTTTAGGCCTCGCGGACTGTAACCTCCAGGAAGGCGGGGAACTAGTTGCTTAGTATGACTTTCACTGATGGGTAGCGCCATTTTGGTTTGTCTAAACCTTTGAGTGTGTAAAAAGAAGTGATAATTATTTCCTCAGCACGTTTTAACCCACTTCCGGGTGGTGAGGTAAAAGTGGGTAAAGCGTTAACTCGTCACGCCGAGGACCCGGGTTTGATTCCCCACATGGGTACAATGTGTGAAACCCATTTCTGGTGTTCTCCGCCGTGATATGCTGGAATATTGCTAAAACCGGCGTACAATCATACTCACCAGTCACATTGTGTGATTTGTACATGTTTTTTAATGAAAACATAGATATTTTTGGTAAATTAATTAATTATGAAATTTAAATGTTTAGGGGAAATATACCTTCTTTCGGTATATTTACCACGTCCATATTGTGCATGAATATGGCATCGGACGTTGTCGAAATCTCTCCAGAAACCAATCAATAGTTTCTAGCCAGTCGCATGCCGTTATTGCGAACTGTTTTCGCTGTGCTGCACGTCGCATCTTATCCAAGCCGTTAGTTGATGCAGTGCACCGAATGTTTCCCGCCAAATAATACATGTACAAAATAAGTGAAAGCAAAGCAACGGAACAATTATTTTTTTTAAGGTTTCACCTAGTTATTAGGACCAAAAAACAACCATGCGGAATGACAAGATTCTTAGATCATAATGCAGGAAACGTAGTCTTAAAAGAAAACACAACCACTGGATAGTTATAGTATAAGAAATGTATTGTTGATAATACCAGTACACTACAGACATATATGTAAGGTAATATGTTGTTTAACGCCGAACTCAGCAATAGTCCAGCTATAAGGCCGCGGTCTATAAATAATCGAGTCTGGATCAGACAATCCAGTGATCTAACCATACTAGAACACATTGTACCCATGTGGGGATTCGAACCTTGGGTCTTCAGCGTGACGAGCCAACGCTTTAACCACTAGACTACCCCACTGACCCTAACCATACTAGAACACATACGATAAATTTCATATTTGTGGAACTATAGTGCATTTTTTAAACATTGATATCATACGTCATGACTCTGTAGCAGTAGAAATAGCTCACTGTAACCCGTAAATGGATCGTTGGCCTTTGTCCGGAATAAAGAATTAACTAATGTTAGTGGGTAAGACGTGGTGAATTGCTACTGTTATGCAATAATTACGTCTCACGGAAAGGGTGGGCAAGAGTGCCCAAAATATTCAAGTCAAAGCGACACAACACAAAAGGACAGTCATACAAATATATTGTGATAAAAGTCTTGGTTACTGGAAGCAGGTCCCGACTGCACAGTTCATATGACACCTAGAATTGCAATCCACAGATCGATATGGGATGTTGTCACCTCGACAGCGAGTATATATTTATGAGAATCAACAATAATCCAAGTAATACACAGGTTGTGTCGATAATACTTATTGGAGAAAACGTTATTATTAAAGAATATGTAAACACAATCCCAGGGAGTATTTACACAAATGATACATACATGTGTACATTACATTATTATTGAATACAAGGTTACTTTACGGAAAGACTACAGAATACCGGATACCTTCCGCCATCTTTGAAAACTTTAGAACTGCGCAAAATATGTGCGCAAGTCGACTCGATATTTTAGGACTTCGTTATTTTAGTTAACTGACATTTTTAGCCCTCGGATATCCGTTACTATCTTCTTTTTAGGGTCAGTTTAACCAGGGATACTATTCTCCTGGTTTTAACGAATATGGTTAGGTTAGATTTAGGCAACCTTCGCTCATTCGCTTCAACTCCAAGAATTCCGTAGCTTTTTTTCAAAGACGTATATATTTTCATTCGCGATAATTTACCTTTTATTTTCAAAAAATCGTTTTAGTTTTACTTCAAACGGAAGTCGATTATTTTCTATGATTATTAAGGATTATTTTGTATTTTGATGCTCCCTTTAGTTTTCGAATTGTATGGCTCTGTGCTTCCCTTATAATACGAAGTTCACGTGGCACTAAAGAATGGTTGGTAGGTATCCAGTATTCTGTAGGTGTACCTACTTCACTTTCACACCAACATAGGAAACATACTAAAATATGACTCATATAACAACATGTGGGAGTACGACATATTCAGCAAAGAATAACTGTGATTCATATTTCACGGACTTAATTAGTATGTTTGCATGATGGTCAAGGCTAAGCCTGTTGTCATCGTCTGATTGCGTTATGCCAGACCTTAAGGGAACAAAAAAGTAACCTTTTTCAGACGAAAGGTTTGGAGATTGCAATAATATTCAAATGCCAAAAATGACGCCGTAAATATGCAGTTATACCAGTATTACGTTGCAGGCATATCGGATAAGTTGGTTGAAGCGGGCTTTGCCATGTTAAGATAAACATGAAACAGACGATGATGGCTAGTTTTGTTTACATCCGGTTCAGCCATTTTGTATTATAACCGGAAGGGAGCCGAAGAATAGCCGAAGATGTGCTGCTCAATGCAGACCTCAGCAGACGACACCATGATGCTTTGACTGAGGATATGATTTGGGGAATGGGTACAATACTACAACCACGTATTGATTTAGAATGCAGTAATTCTGTTGTTTAGAGCAACAATTTTGAAATAAGTAGATTTTGTAATTAAGCAATGAGCTAGAGACGATTTCGACAGGCAGACCAGACTTGAAGGCTATGCAGTGGGATCTACTTCACTTTCATGGAGGAAGATCCAGTTGCTCTCTGGACAAACTGATGTTCTTTACTAAAATGTCATCCGCAGATTGATGTGGGGTGCTGCTACCTCACGTTTTCCTCTTTCTTTGTCATGTAACAAAATAGACCCAGGGTTATTGGCCAAAAATTGTTTCTGTGGAATCCATGACACTAATGCCTTGAATCCTCAAACACTATAATTAGTAAAGGACAGGGTACTGAGTTACTTTATGCAAGGGATTGGGTTGGCTGGTTGGTTGGTTGGTTGGTTGGTTTGTTGTTTCACACCACACTTAGCAATATTCAAGCTAAATGGCGGCGGTTTGTAAATTATCGAGTCTGGACCAGACAGTCTAAGTGATCAACAAGGTCCTGGAGCAAATATTCAGCCTTAACAAGGGCTTAGGCGTTAAAGGAGAAGATCATGCCCAGTCATTCTCGTCCACCACCCTGTGTTCAGCCTTGAACTTTTCAGCTTCTTTAATCGCTTCTTTCTTCTGCCGTTTTACTGTAGAATCTTCTGCTGGAGGCGGAGGTAAGACGGCTTTCATCTCCCTTTCAATCCTCTCTATCCTCCTCTTCACCTTTGTGTCAAACTCCAGCTGCTTCTTGGCAACAATCAACCCAATAGACACTGTGGCGTCCTGTGCCTGTCTTTTCAACTGGGACATCTTTCGTGAGACGGCACCTTTGTCGTTCTCTGCACCCAACGCAAGAAGCTCCCCAAGGCTGGCCACTTGATCCATCAAATGTTTCTCGACACTTCAACATACATCTCTGCCAGGTTGTTCACCATGTACGACAGCTTGTTGGCTTCAGATGCTTGTATATAGATCATGTCCCTCATCATATCGGACATCGTGTACTCAAGACGAAACTCTGCACCTCGCTCGGCGCCCTGGATGAAATTCTTTACATTTTCATCCATACAGCATTTGATGATGTTTGAAATTGTTGTGAAAAATCTCACCAGCTTTCCCCACTGTGTTCGAACCTGTCCGAGAGCTTTGATACCTCTCTGCAGCAACTGTTTTATTTCATCAAAGTTGGTCTTGTCAAGGTTTAAATGTGCAAGTTCTTCAATGACTGATGTCACATGGGCATTGGTTTCCTGCAATGATTTGCTTTTGTTCTTGAAGTCTTCCCTTATTGACTGAAGCGAAGCGGCATTTTGTTCCACCTTGAATCTACATTGCTCACTATATCTTGCTGAAGCTGAACTGGAACTATCCTGCTCTTTTGTAGACATCATGGGTGTTGGTGGTTGAACTGACTCTCCAAATGCATGTGCACAGAATGTCTCCAGTGCTTTCATTCTACCTTCAAGCCTACCTGCTATCATCTTTGCTTCATTTTCCTGTGCCTCTTCCTTGGCAAGCTGCTTGCCAGCAGTCTTCATTATCTTAATGAGCTTACATCCGTCCTTTTTAATGTCCTTTACTCTCTGCTTACATACTCCCGAGTAGGATTTCAAAGCCTTAATAATGTCCTCAAAGGTTGACTCGACCGTCATGAGATGATCCAATTCCGTTCCCTGCATAATCTCTTCAAAATCTCTAACGAGAGTCTTTACACAAAGCGATAGTCCTGGAAGTTCCATCATCAGTAGAGCTTCCTTGTCTTCTTCTTTCTGCACATGCTTTCCCATGGAGGATTCTTTTTTTGCAGCCTTCCTTGAAATAGCATTGGTGACCGATTGGCAGACACCAAGAGTGCATTTGGCCAGCCCTTCCACGAAGTCCATACTGATCATACTCCAACCAGACGGCATAGAGTCCATGGCTTTTGCATATGATTCTTGGGCCTTTGTAAATTGGTTACGTAATTCATTGTACTCCTCTTCAGCAAGCCTCTTTCTTTCTTCTAATGACTGCAGTCTTATTGTCTTCACCTCATGATCCTTTTCCGCTTTGAGGAGTTTCTCAGAATACTGACCTTCAGCAAATGTGCATGCTTTCTGGAGTTCTCCTATCAAATCCATTACAGTACAAAATCGTGTCTCCACTTCTTCAGCTCGTACAACGCAAGTGTCAGTAATTCGTTTAATGTTAGCCAAGTAATCGGGGACGAGTTTGCGCACTTCCATTTCTGACCCATTGACAATGAACTGAAAAAAGAAACATGGCATATAGGACATTAAACATTTTCGTGGGGCAAGGACAGCTCAGAGAAGGAAGTCTGTGAGAGAGTTTTAGTTGTTTTGAATATAGAGACTTAAGGAGAGAGTCGGGGTAACTAGAGGGAGTTTCAACGTGTCGTTTAGAGTAAGATGGTGTTGAAGGAATGTCACTGTTTTGGAGGATTGTGTGAAGGAGAGAGCATCATTGTGTCATGGTATTTAAGAGAGTGGCGGGATATCCTAATTAGACTCTCAAAACTTAATTTTTGAAAATAAATTTCTTAACATTAAATATCTAAGGGAAACTTTGAAAGAGCCTGTGATCAAATAAAAAAAAATACTGATAGAACATTTTCAGGTTTATTCCATTAAGCGATGCTTCAGTTCAGAATCTTACTCTGTTAGCAATCAACAGATACTAATGAAATTACAAATAAGTATGCATTAACTTAACATATCGTGCATATATACCTCTCATCACATCATTGTAGTTATTCCAGCTTGATAGCAGTGAATGACACTTTATCAAAAAGACGAGAGTCATTGTGATTTGGAGGTATTTACTTAGGCTAAGGAGAAAGCCTTGAATTTCTGTGTTTTGACGACAAGACAGAGTCGGATTGTCTGGGAGTGTTGCGGGGTGCAAGTAAGAGAGTCTGAAGAGGCTCTCATTGAGAGAGCGTTCTGCTGTCCGTTCCTGGTGTTTGGCAGGGTGTTCTGAAAGATTTATATTATCTCTGTGGGAGGGACTCAGCGTGTTTAGCAGAAAGTCATGGGTGCAAGCGACATATTGTTCTTTAGAACCTGAGGTGTATACTAACATCCAGTACTTCATTCATCCATATTCAATTTCAAAATACTTACCTTGACAGCGTTCTTGACATGCTGAGGAATCTGCAGTGTCAGCAGTCGTATCTGATCCATGTTTTTGTTAGCCAGGTTGAAGGCATTCCATCCGTCATCAGCAACTTGCAGAATGCTGGTCCGCAGAGACTCTGGGTACTCGGTGTGTTTGAATCGCTCTCTTGTCATATGTTCCGACACAAGAGACACGTCCTTGTCCAGTGTGACGAGAACCAGTTGTCCTAGGAGACACACAGAGAGAGGTGCTGGGCACAGCATCTCCTGCCAGTTCATGTGAGGTCCGAGGACCAACATCATGTCCTCCTGAAATCAACAACAGGTGCAAGTGACATTGGGCTTTGTTCATCAGGATTTTGTGGTGGTCTGTGGGAATTTTTACATTCAACCAACATGTGTATAGTATTGTAAAAAGTGTCTGTATCTGTACTCGTTGAACAATGTTTGACATCATTGCTAGTCATTATCGTATACAAAAGATGTGGATCATTCTTCTAGCTGTACACTATTGTTTTGGACAATTATCATTTGTTAACAGGTTGTTGCAAGTCTGTGTAGTTAACGCTTTCTGACCAAGGGAAGCAAGAACTGCCAAAATAATAAAAGCCAACCTTATAAAAAGCAATACCAATGATTTCAACCCAATAAGACTACCACCATATACCACTTTTTTCAAAAACCCTTCCTTTCAAAACTGCTACCTCCTATAAGTGCCTGTCCTGATCTGCTGTGTCCAAATAATCCTATTACCCACAAATCATTACCTCCCACACCAATACCCCTTAACACCACCCTAATTCCAAAATTTCACCAATACCAGATGTAGCAGAATGTAAATATTTTAGTATATAATTTAGTTAAACAATATAACAACCCTTTAAATTAACACAACACTCTACTGATCCTTAGGGTAAGTTATGTAAGCCTGCATGGGGTTCCATTATTCTTCAGACTCCTGGTCCAGCAACGGCTTGGCCAGTGAGTGAATTGCTATTGTTTCTAGAGCATGTCACCAGATCTTGAGTTTTATGTACTCCAATGATCCTTTTTTCTGGTCACTGCTACAATTTCAACTCTCACTGCTACAATTTCAACTCTCACTGCTACAATTTCAAATTGTTTTATCACCTGATCCACTGTGACGTATCATCACATCATCCCAGACAATAAATCCCTGAACCCTGAAGTATTCGTCTGTGACCAATCTTGATGTGATACCTCTGTTACACAGACGCTTCCAACAGAATGCCATGACCTAACAAAACCTCCGATCCAGTATCTTCCAAATACCAATACATCCAAAATCCGAGACATCATCTACAGTACAATCTCTACCCCCCAAATACCACTGCCTCCAAACTATGGTGACCCATATATGCTTCTTAACCTCCCTACTGCCATTAATGCATCTACTCGGTCAACTCACAAATACCACCACCTTCCGTGTATTGCTAGCACCCTAGTTTCCCTCACCTCCTAATACCGTCTACCCAATAACGGTTCCAGGAAAAAAACCTCTATAATACTAATACCTTGCTTATGCAATATTGCTGACAGTGTTGTTAAACAACAAACAAAATCCGTTTTCATAAAGAAAACTCTTTACCTTTGACATCTTGGGGCTCATCAGACCTTTTTCTGCCTTAGCACCGTCTTCTTTGCTGATTTCCGCCATGCCGTTTCACCTGAGGCACCAGGAAGTCCTTCATTACAATTTAAAGCAAAAGCTAGATCCATCGTATGCATTTTAAACATTACATTAAAAGGAATACAGCAATGTCTTAAATATCACAGGTTGGTATACACACTTTCCTCTTTCCGAATCTGTGGTGCATCTAAAGCATCTATTTGTACTTTCTGGCATGGACTTTGGGCAAATCCTACCTTTGCCTGATACTGCAGCAATGACTTGAGCATTTGTCACAAGAGTATAGCACATGGTACATGTAACATATTGCCATTTGTGAGATGTGAACTGCATTCCGAATGTTCAGGCCTCGAACAAGACCGTGGTTTGATTCGTTGACTTGACTACAAGCCGGCTGTATGTATTTACACGAGATGGAGGAATGTAATGTAACTAACACACAATGTTCTGTAGCTCTCCTATACAATTCGGGAGACACAAATTTATGACACTTGAACGTGGTACCACCAAAATGAATAATGTACCAGTACCTGTTGTCAATTCTACATGATATGAATATGGCACTTACAGAAAACGTGAAAGCAGTGTTAATTTTCCTTAAACGTTACGTTATTGTTAGTCTCTGCTCTTTACAAATATATAGTTCGTTCCAAACTACGTGAAAAAATAATTGTATTTTAGAATTACTGGAAAACTGTTCATTTGAAGGCTGTTTGTGCTAACACAGAATGTAAAACATAAATTCTTCATAAATATTAACACATTCTATGGCTTGTATGTTCTGGAAGAAGACTCTCGCACGAAAATCCGTTTCCCAAACAGCCTAAAACATCCACTCGATAAACCGAAGTCTCCATCTTTGACAAAAACACACAAAAGCAACAGACATATATTTTAAACTTTTGGTAATATTCATTTATAATGTCCTGACTCACAAATTCATGGCTTTATGTTTTTTACAACTACAGGTATGTTTCTGTTTCCTTTCACCATTCATCGTCGTCATCATCATCGTCATCATCACAAATGGCCTGAAATATACAGGACTAGCAAGCACCCTTTTCCAGAGATCGGGTTGAGTAATGAACTCCTCTAAACTGTCAAACAAACTCTTAAGAGGGATCCCGAGAACTGCTATATCATTCATGATGGCGGTTGTATCTCTTAGTACTTCTGCTCGTCCCGACACTTTTACTCCAGACGAGTCATCACCTTCCCTCAATGCCGTTTGACTCGATGTTGTTTGGTAATATGCTTCCTGTACATGTAAATATCATCTTCAGTTTCTTCCATTTCTTCCTCCAGTCTGATCTTTTCCCTTTACGTCCCTCGATACTGCTTTGTGTAGTTTCACTTTCTTTTGTGATCTCGCTTAGAGCGTCTTCAGCACTGGATACTTCGACTCAACCAAATCAAGAAAACCTTCTGCAATTTTAACATGCTGATTGAATATCGTTTCAGCTGCTTTGTCGACCACGTATCCGACTACAGGTATCCACCACATCGTATCTGTCACGTTCTTAACTTTATTTTTTGAATCGCGCTGGCTGCCTCAGCGTCAGATTTTGCCTTTGCGCATGTTCCTCAAAATGGTCCACTTTTTCTGGGCGCTTTCAACCTCCTCTTCTGTTTCTTTAGTGTACTGGACAAAGACTCCAGTGAAACCTCCAAGCCGCTGCCAGAGATTTAATAATTTCTTTGTGTCCTGTTTGCATGCTGGATAACTCTGCCTCTTGTTCCCGGCACTTTCTGGTTTGACGACGGATGTGCTTTTCTAAGTCACCTTCAGCCCGGAAAAGGCTTCAAAAGTCTTTTATATGTCGTTTAAATTTGCATTCTCCAATCTGTAGGGCTGTCATTAATTTGTCAATGCGCTCGACACCAGTCTCGAATTGGGAAACGACCAATCTACCGGCAAAAGTCGCTAGATTTTCCGGAATGATACCGTCGCCATCTTCTGAAAAGTAGGTATGGACTGAAATGAGTTTGCAGTTGTGATTTACCATTTGCTTGTTAACACAAGCTTGGTGTTTCATGCGAATATCAGATAATAATTCTGTCCCTCTGTACACAGGACAGTGTTATAATCAGTATCAATTTCTTTACAATGTGAGAGGGGTGAATGACTCCATATGTTTTGACGCTACTTTTAGCAATATTCCAGGAATATCATGCAAGTGTACACTAGAAAGGGACTTTATACACTGTACCCATGTGGAAATCGACCCCATTCCTTTGGCGTCATGGTTGACTGCTAATACAAAACACTCTATAACACCACCAGTTACTACATGTAGATTGATATTGTTGTCATACTCATGTTGACACCCTACTCACGCTATCAATCACTGGTGTCTGGTCCAGACTCGATCACAAAGGTAACGGTATTATAATATAAGAAAGGATCCAACTCAATTATTGCAAAAACAACAATCGTGCTATTAAAATGTATTATTTCAAGCATTCTCGACAACAGATGTAGATTTGTGTTTTGTTTAAAATCCAATCGCTCTTCATCCATATCCAATGGGTTGCCTCGTAATTGCAATACAAAATATAAACATGGGTTATTCAGTACCGTGACGTTGCGGATACACTGAAACATGGGATACACGGAAGCAACGTCAGCATTTCAACATTTATGCGCATGATCACTTCTCGTAGATTTTGGTATTCTGATTTTAGCGCTACCTTCAATAGGTTTAAACAAAGTTGTGTTGGTGAATGAGTACGGGGTAACTGATCATAATGACAGCAATACAAAATCCTGTGAGAGACACATACAATTCCTTTACATTATCTAGATTCACACATTACTGGCTTACGGCATTCACAACTAAATTCCAACATTGCCAGTGATTACCGTGTGTTATCCCTGTGTATTATCAGTAATGTTTATATATTACGCACTTTTCTCCAAAGAGACTTTCGCGTATGTATGACATGGAGAACCGTATTTACAATTCAAAGATTGGTTCGTTTTCCAGGGGGTCCGGATTGGTCTGATAATGGAGATAGCTCAGGGCAGCTATTCTGATTATTGAGATCATTGTATTTGTCACGTACTCATTGACAAATGCCAGATAAGTGGCTGTCGTACCGTATACCCAGACTGCGTTTCATGCCATTGAATTGCGTGTGCAACACTCGAATATCTAAGGCGCCGCAATTCGCTGTAAAGAGTTGCCTCCCTGTCAGAAACTATGATTTGCCCCAATAACGATTCAAGGTCCATTCTCTCAGTGTAGATTAGGGACGTCCATTTTACTTATATTTACCGTCTGATGTTGTCACTTCGTGTTCTGTGTGACTCGTAAGTAAATACAGCATTTCACATAGTCAGCTGTTTTTAACCTTATGCCATATTCTCGTATAACGTAGCAGTTTCATAAGGATATGACGCGTGGAGATCCGGGGTAGAATATGTCTTCAGCAACCCATGCTTGCCACAAAAGGCGACTATGCTGGTCGTAAGAGGCGACTGACGGGATCGGGCGCTCAGGCTCGCTGACTTGGTTGACACATGTCATCGGTTCCCAATTGCGCAGATCGATGCTCATGCTGTTGATCACTGGATTGTGTGGTCCAGACTCGATTATTTACAGACCGCCGCCATATAGCTGGAATATTGCTGAGTGCGGCGTAAAACTAAAC